CCTTCCAATCAGGGCTTTTGAGATGACCAAGCGAGCAGTAATCCTTGATGCCTTCCTGTATCAATCCAACGCTAACGTGTTCGACAGCATGCTGGAGCTGAGTATCCAGCCATCGCACTTGAAATAGTGAGGAGAGCCGGCCCTTGCGCATTCGCCGACAAACGCGCCCTATTATATACGCACTTCCTACCGCGCGATAAACACGGGCTTTCATTCATCGCTCTTTCTGCGGGAGAAACGCCACAAGCTTGTCAATATAAATATCCTGCAGCAGTGGCAGTGGAGACCTCCCTGGGGTACTAGGTGTGGAATTTAAATCAATTAAACTTCTGCCAATGTGTTCACTATTGTTTTATATTGCCACACGAGATTTGTTCAACAGATCCAAACTCACCTCCCAGTTCCCGAGCCACACTCCGTCCCTGCAACGGCAATCGCTCACAATCACGCGATCGCCCTCCGCCACGTCCTTGGGGTCTTCCTAGTCCCGGTATCGCCTGTTCAACGCCGTCATAGCCTTCGGAAACGTACAAACAGTTATTAGATATATTACCACATCCAACTTGACTCACCCATTTGAAGTATATCCACCGTCTTCAGTAGGCGTAGTCGCATTAAAGGGGATAAATGGAAGCAAGGCCTCTTCACCCAGTAGAAACGCCACACCTTCCTCGCCATTGACATCTCCTCCAGGTTTGATGTATCGATATCGACTGTCCAACCCAGGTCTTGGAGGCTTGGACGTCCAGCCTTCTTGGCGTAACTTGGCCCACGTACGCCTCAATTCAACGGCTCCACCGAGAAAATTGTGCCTATTGGGGCTGGAAGCCGCATCGGCTCGCGTAAGCCGGCGACGTTTAGGCTCAGGAGGAGACTCAGATTGCTGAGATCGCTTCCCCGCGCTAGGAACCTCCGTCATCGCGCGCTTGTATTCGTTTGAAAATCAAAGGCCTAAAAGAGCCGTTATTAAATATTTATTATGATGTCTGCATGAATATACTTAGTATTGCATTTGTAAAATATGATCAGATATATTGGAAGGGTTTATAAAGTCTCAGAATGTACAGGGATGGATATTCCCGGATATTTAACCGTATATACTGGGTTTTAGAGACTTACGTATAAAAGAAAGGATAGGTGCAACAACCAGCAGCTCTGATACTGTATTGAAGATACATGTGTATGTTAGGTAGTATAGATATCCCCAGACATTACAGACGGAGGTGGGTCCTCTGTCTACCAGGCTAACTCGTTCATTCTCAGTGTTTATTGCTGGTCCGCTATCTTCGACCTAGATTACCTCGATTCCTCTCCTTTCAGCGCTAGGCGCGCATTCGAGCTCCCAACTGAACGCAGTCGTCTTGACTGGAAAAACTTCGCGACGATCTGAAGAAAATGCGACAAGATGACGACGTGACATTACAACGTCAACCAACTGCAAGCATGCATAGGACCACTATTGCTGCGCTTATAGAGTGTCTGATGGTCGGGGTGAAGGACGGGACGGTGGAGGGTTTTGCGAAACGCCCTCTTTTACTTCTACGTCTGCACTTTCGTTTTCCAAGCTCATATATCATGTCTACCACCAAGTCTGCTGCGCCGTGTGAGGGGCTGCGGTCAGCCTGTTGGCCCAGTTCATCGTTGTCCAAACTGCTCCCGCCACATGCACCCATTCTGTGGACGTCCCACAGGAAGTAAATGCTTCGGACAATCTGTGGTTTGTCCCAAATGTGACCACGTTGACCAAGAGGCCCAAGATGCACCAGATAGCGCCTCAGCACTAAATATCATGGCAGATGCCGTGGTGTTGTTGGACAGTGATTCCGACGTTGAACTTGACTCGTCTCAGCAGAAACCTGCACAGTCAAGTCAATCTTTGCGCCACGCACAATCCGTAAGCAGTATTGCTCACCGTCGAAACGTTGTACGCTGGATGAAAGCGCACGAGGCGACCAGTGGAATTAAAGGCATGTATGCAAAGGCTGTAGACAAATATCCTGCTATTTTCAACTCGGCTACCCGTGCGGCTAACTTAGCCAAGGCTTTAGACTGGTGGAAGAAACGAGAGCGCATATTGAAGGCAGGGCGCGGCTCAGTCGCGGTTTCAGCGCGTCGATGTGGTGAAAGACAACGTATAAACGCAAACGTTATTGTGGGACGCGGGAGGTCAAGGAGTGCGTGGGTGGCGTTGCTGTACCCGTTGCTGTTAGACGAATTGGACAGACTCCGCAAATCTAGCGTAAAATTTGAGCCGGCATTGTTACTGCAGCTGGCCAAGGATTTCATCCGAAGCAGCCCTGGACCCTTTCATTTCAGGAGTGCCGACTCAAAAGGTGCGCTAATCATTGACAAAATAACATCGCGGTGGGCTTAAAGCTTTTTGGAGGCCCATCAGATCGTTATCAGATCTCAGACTGGGAAGAAACAGCTCAGCGAGGCAAAGATTTGGCACATAGAGAAAGAAGTGGCGTTCCATCTGGGTGAGCTACAGGGAGGTTTCGAAGACGGATCGCTCGATGAAAATGTATCGAGAACGTCACTTTGTCGTGGATTTTGACAACGGTAAGACACTCGGTTTTTGCGGTGACGGGACTGTCAAATATGCCGACGTAGTGTCAGGAGGAGAAGGAATGACGATGGTCGTCAGACTGTCTGGTGGATCGAGTGCGTGGATACATCCACCAATGATGATTTTTATAAGCTCAAGTGACAATTATTCTATCCACGGAGCTACAAACAACCCCCCCCCCCCTCCCGGAATATGCTATCGCAGGGATGGATGACGCAAAAGTTGTTTCGAGAATATCTCAAAGAGAGACGAGCGATGCGTGCAGACGTGGGTGGACGAAAGAAATTTATCTTCCTTGATAACCGCTCTGGCCACCTGGAAGCTGGGGAATGCCGTACCGAGCTTGATGCTATCAAATCCGATCTCAATTTTCCCCCTCCAAACGCGACAGACCTCTGTCAACCAGCGGACTCATTCGTAATCTCTAAGATAAAGGACGCGTGAAAGGTCAAGTGGATCGAGAAAAAGATAAGATTAAGAAAAGCTGTTGGCAAAACAAGATACGGAAGGATGGTTCGTGGTCCGGGAAGCTTCAAAATCCAGGCAAGAAGTTTTTCCTGCAACTTGCTGCAGAGGCGGTGAAATCAGTCAACCTTCAAAATGACAAGAACGATATGTCCTACGCGCGTAAGGCGATAAAACGGTGTGGTTTGTCGCTTGGGTTAGACGGTGTGTGGTCAGTTAAGCAGCTTTATCCTTATCACCAGGATATCATAAAGAAGCATCTCGTGCACTTTGAAGGTGAGCCTGTAGATGCGAATCACATCTGACGCGTTAGTGTCACAGTTAATACTTTTTGAACAAGTTAGTAACTGATACCAAATCGGCCGAGTCGGCAGTGCCTCTTCGTGTTACGGTGGGAGTGGAGGGTTCGAGTCCCTGCTCAATTAATGCTTTTGACTAAGACTATTTTAGAGTTCATAAATAGTATTAGTCATAAGTCAGGTACATGCAGACTTAACACAAAAAATAGTCTCGGTAAGACTAATTACCGTTAGACAGTGTATTTACTATTTTAATAATGCATGATGGTTTTAATATTTGAGTGCTTAACTGAGCCACTTACTCTCAAATGAAATAGCCCCTGTACTGTTTAGCGTACACGTAAGGATGCGTGTTTCCGAGGACATACTATTAATATACGAAATACTCTGTACTTAATAGTTTCTGCAAGTTAGAATAACTAAAATAATAACTACAACTGTTTTGTTGTAGAAATATTAATAAATTATCTGAGTGAGGTAACTGACTGAACTGCCAAATTGTAGTACATGTACAACAGAAGTTGGCCGTAATAAGAACTGGCCGTAAGAGCAACGCTGTGCAAATAAACGTGATCCCTAAAGATAGATAGTTTTAGATTGAACAAAAATAACTCATACTGTAAGCCATTGTTTTCTAAGAGTTGTTTAGACGCAAAATCCGATACTACTTAACGTGTCGCCGACAAGGGCGTAGGATACGATTTTAAATGGAGCGGCAAGACAACAACACAACACGAGAAGTGTAAGTTATAGTTGGTCAAGTAGACCCCATGAAGAAACGTTAATAAACTTGGAGCCTAAATGGCGTTTAACCATACTGAAATCATCGTTAACTATCAAATAAAAAGCACTACCGTCAACAACGACAACAGCATGGCGTCTTGCGACACATTATCCAAATGCTTTAACCCCAACAAGAAAAATTTAAGGACAAAATGAGGACCAAAAGTTGATGGCCTTGCTTGGCCTCAGTTTTGGTAGATGCTCCTGTGAGCATAAATAGAAATGTATCCCTGTGTTAGCTCTCTACAACCGTGCTAGCAATTCTTTGCTAAATCTACGCGTTATTGCATGAGCTGCTGTGCCGTACGGAGTCTGGAATGATTTCCCTGTCCTTAAGTTAAGGACAAAAATCGTCAAATGGAATAGTATAATCAAGTTAAATTTTTATTTCATACAAAGTGGCGTCGGGTGTCTCAACTGTCATATCAGACAGAGGCAATTGCGCTTGGTGCGGTCGATTTTTGTCCTTAGTATCGAGGTGTTACGGACAAAATCACTCAAAAATTTCACGATCTTGCATCTTATTTCGTCCTCATTTTAAGGACAAATTTTGTTGGGGTTAATCATAACTGGCACAGAATCGAGTGTCTAATGACTAATTCTGTACCAGCACAAATTGAACGCTACATGCATTAAAATATTACAATTTGAATATTTTTAGCTGTCATTGAGTTTAGTAAGAGAAGTGATCAATCTTTACTTACTTACCAGCTTAACTAGGCAGTACAAGCGGGTAGGTAAGTATGTCAGAAAGAGGCTACTATTCGAGTGCAGCGTCGGATGTGCTTTTGATTGGTTCCCTGCGTTTAAGTTCGGAGATTAACTTAAGCGCGTACTGGAACTATTTGCCAGTACAGTAGTACAGTACTTACAGGTATCTGCCAGCGAGCGGAGTTTATCGATGGTGGCGGAGCCTGAGGAACATGATGCGGCAGTACAGGGCCGCGTGACAGGTATCATTTATCCCCCACCGGATATCCGCGCCGTGGTGGACAAGACGGCGCAGTTCGTGGCCAACAATGGGCGTGCTTTCGAGAGTCGCATCGTGGGTGAGCGCGTGTCTGCTAAGTTCTCGTTCTTGCGCGAATCCGACCCGTACCACGCCTACTACGAGCACAAGGTGAGCGAGTTCACCGTCAAAAAGGAAGATCCTCTTCCAGCTCCAGAGCCGCAGCAACCGGAACATACAGCAGAGGGACAACAGGAGACGACACAGGAGATCGCCAAGGCGGTGGAGACTGTAGGCGACGTCGTTGTGGAGAAGAAGGCAGTGCAGGACGTCACGGCTCAAGTGGCCAAGAATATCAGAGGCAGGGAACTAGAACCGCCACCGGAGGAGATATTCATCATCAAGCACCCGACGCTTAGTGCGCTGGACCAGGAAATCATGTACCTTACTGCGCAGTACACAGCGCTGAGCGGCAGCTCGTTCCTGTCGGGTCTTGCCACGCGCGAGCAACGTAACCCTCAATTTGATTTTTTGAAGCCAACGCACCCACTCTTCGCCTATTTTACGGCGCTCGTGGAGAGCTACACACTCGTGCTGGCCAAGCAGGATGCGCAGATGAAGCGGTGCGTTAAGTGCATATATAATTTGCTACTGTCTGTATTAATGCAATTGGGGTTTCAGGATTGAGGATGGCATGGAGCGCATGAAGGTGTTGGATCGATGCGTTCACAGAATGGAGTGGCAGCGAACTGAGCAGGAGCGCGAGGACAAGGAGGCGGCGGAGGGTGATGCTGAGCGTCGAGCACTTGCGCAGGTTGACTGGCACGACTTTGTAATTGTGGAGACGATCAACTTTGATGACGACGACGACTTGGGTGCTTCTGCTACTGTTGGAGAGGGTGAGGCGAAGGGATCCGATGATGATATGGACATGGAGGAGGACGATGACGATGAACCCAAGCCGGAAATTAAGGTGGTCGAAGATTATGTGCCGCAAGCCACGGCAGGGACAACGCAGCAACCGCTGCTGAGCGTGGATGGCAAGACCCTATCGTCTGCTGAGGCCAACGAGCATATGCGTATTCTACTGATGAACCCAAAGTGGCGTGAGGAAACGCAGCGTCACTTAGAGAAACAGAAAGAGAGCTCGTACGCAGCAGGATCAGCGATCGCAGACTCGCTACGACGCTTTGCGACGAAGCGTGCAGATATATTTGCGTCGTCAGCCGAAGAAGAAGCGCGGTTGTTGCAAGCCACTACTGCGCCGACCATTACGGAACAACGGCAACAGCAGCAGGAAGACGACATGGAGGACAATTCTGACGAGGAAACCAAAACGGTACTTTCTTCAGATCTATCCCAGGCGCAGCAAGTCCCAGCTCCCACGGAGTTTGCGGAACAAGGACAGACGCCGACAGGTGCGCCAGGTTCTCAGCCAGTACCAGCAATGCTGATGCCGCCTGGTGTAGTACCGCTCGGAATGGGAGTTCGTATGCCAGCTCCAGGCATGATGCCTCGGAGTGCTGGGCCCTCTGGTTTGGTTCCCCCGCACCTCCAAGCTCCAGGAGCTGTGCCGCCAGGAATGAGCGCTGGTCCACCCGGTATCGCTGCCGGCCCTCCTGGTGTTTCGGGGCCTCCGGGTGAAGACCTTGAGCCGGCAGCAAAGAGGCAACGTACAGGAGGGTCTTCACTGATGCCGGAAAAGGAGTTTGCTTCCCGACATCCGGTTAGTTTTGTTTCGGGCATTGTTTCTACTGGTACTTCGGCTCGTTCTAGCTAACATGTTCGTTTGCTTTGTGCACACAGGGAATGGTGCGATTGATTGTGAAGGTTCCAAACGACCCAGACAACGCTCAGTGGAAACTCACGGGACAGACACTGACAGTGGAGCTAGACGTGAAGGACAACATGCGGACACTCAAGCAAAAGCTGATGGTAAGCGTCTTGTTGGTTGGATTTCCCTGCTTTGTCCGTTAACGATTGCGTTGTCTATGCAGGCCGACTTGCACAACATGCCGGTGAACAAGCAGCAGCTTAAGTTCTCGATGGGCTTCGTCAAGGATGCTCTCACGTGTGCCCACTACAACTTCATAAACGACACAGTACTCGAGCTGAGCGTTCGCCAGCGCGGTGGAAGACGGTAGAGACTCGGTACAAGGTGGTATAGTAGCTGTAAGACACGCAGTTCTTTCTACACTGCACGGACACCACAACTCTGTTTCATTCTGCTGCAAAACTGGCACTGGAGTTATTCAACTGACATGGTTACAGCACTGGGCAGCCTTTGTCAACCTTCTACATGTAGTACCCGTCCAGCTTTTCTTCCCTCACGTCGATTTCTTCTGCGCACTTGACCATGTACTGGAGCTCGACGGCGTATTGCTTCGTGGATTCGAGGTCCTGATCTTTGTCGTATACTTCACCCAGCTTGTTGATGATGGTATCGATGTGCTCTGAGACTTCCTTGCGGATTTCGTGCAACGTATCCACATCTAGCGCTTCGGCAATGCGTTCTCTGCAGTACAACACAGAGTAGCATCAGTCGACTGCGTACAGTACCCCATGCTGATTCTCTGTACCTGATCTCCATCGTCTGCATCAGCAATTCGGGATCTACGGCCGTGCTCGCAGTCTCACCGAGTGCATCGATTCCGTGCAATGCCAGCTACAGTAGTAGAAATACTAGCGTTAGGCCATTGCGAAGGATAGCAACTACACGCATTAAGATGCCAGTCTAGGGAACTGCCCACATTACCAAGTACTTGACGCGCGTGTTGGGCTTCTTCAGCATTTTGTATGCATCATTAATGACAGCGGCATTTACAGCAGAAAGCTCTTTTTCAAACTATACGTCACACGGAACAACGGTTGCCGTAGCGTTAGTCTTCACACTAACAGACTCGTGTTCCCTAACAACATCGCACCTCAGACTTAGATCCATACAGATCCGGGTGCAGACGCTTCTGCAAGTTCCAGTACGTCTTCTCGATGCTGCGTTGCTCCAGATTAAAGTTCTTAGGACTAAAGCACGCCACAGCAAATCAAAACAATTATCACAGTCAATTTCATAATTACACAGGGATACTGCCTTGGGCGTACACTTTGAACATCTCGAAATAGTCGCAGTGGCAGCCCTTGTCGATCGGCTGGATGGCGTTGCACGATTTGCAGAAGAAGGAGCAGCAGTCCGTTGCGTGGTGACATTTCCAACAATCCGCTACGGCAGTCACAACAGTCAGAACATCCCAGCAGCTCCGTTTTACAGTACTTCATTAAGACCTACGCCCTTTCGCTTCTCGGCGGCACGAGACCGCCGGCATATCGTCATCCACATCATCTACGACGGCCGCAAAGCTACGCATCGGTCGCGGTGCCCTCTGCGCGCGCTGCAGCCCGCGACGAAGCACCTTTCCAGACAGCATTAACTTTATAGATAAAACGCGAAGCAGCTACGATTTCGAAGTAAGCATCTGCCACAAAACAGAGGTCTTTAAAATGTGGACCACATCGTTTAATGTTTATTCACAAGGAACCTTAATTCGTTTAAGTACGACGGAGAAGGACAAAAAATGACTCAGGGTTTGTATGGAGGGTAAGGCGCTCCAGCTAAAGTGCAAAATGTCTGATATAACAGATCTTCCTTCAATTAGTATGGAGACTTCGTTTGTGAGTATCCACATATTGAGCTCAAGCTAAACAGTGATTTTGTCCTAGAATAAAGAAGAAAACACAGAGATATTTTGTTATTAGTGATACACTTGAGCGTCCAATCTCGCCCTGTTGGACAACGGTAGACATCGTGATGAGCATACCCCGGATAGAAGTCGTAAAGGGCTTTATGTCCATAGAAGAAGACCGTGTGAATGAGATGGGGGGTCACAAATAACTTTTTTGTAGGAATTTTCTGGCCATAATGATTATCATATCTTTTATGTTAGCGACAATTTACATTTTGAAAAGCAATGCCTAGATCCCCCAACTATTTTTGTAAACAAGGAAAAGACATAATACCGAATTTACCCTAACCACACGCTTGATTTTTCACATTTTTAAAGCTCAGAATTTTAAGGTATTGCTGTCCCGGACCCCCCGTTTTTCCAAATGGCGGACGGGAAGAAGGCTAAGGGTGAGCAGACGGCAGGAGGCGGGTGCAGCAGCGAGGGAGACACCGCGCATGGCCAAACACTTCGAAGGACAGCGGCGGTTAGACACCAGGGTGGAGAGGCAGCACGCGTCAACTCGCAAAAAAAGAGGAAGAGGAGCGTCGCCGACGCTGCTGCCACCCCGTCACCAGTTGCCGGAGGTTTTCACGATCCAGACGACGCTGCTCAATCCGTTGTTCGCGTGATGTATGAGCCATTCGCTGGGGTCTTCGATTCGTGGGTTTTGTGGAGGCGGCGACCACCAGGTATTAATGTATAATTATTATTGGCATTTATCTTTTAGCTGTTGTATTTTAAATAATTCTACTTTGTTTGTAGACACCAGTGCGACCCGTATATTCCAAGTATACAAACTGCGAACGAGCAACTTAATAATAGCTCGCAACCGAACTCATGCTCGGGGTGGAACGCAGCCGAGTCTATGGGATGAAGCACTGCGGTACTACACGAAGGGTTGGACATGCACTCGTGGAGGGCAATTCAAGTCGAGACGGAAGGGCTGTGAATCACACGACCCGTCGAATTCAGTGCCCTGCAAAGTTGAACGCATGCTGTTCGCCAACGAGGATGGTTCATTTCGCGTGCGTGTGAAGGTGCACGATTCCACTCACAACCACACCATCGACAAGAACGTATTCAACACGCACGCAGAGACGCGAAAGATCACGTCACCTACTACTCGAAGTGTCGTCCGAACAATGTGGTAAGGTACACTGCAAGCAACCACAAGGCTTTTTTATTATTTGTATGCTACTAAGCATGTTATGAAGGTGGATTCAAGAGAAATAAAAGTCTACGATATCTGAAAGATGTATCTGGAAAGCCTATTTAACCAAAGATGTGAGCAACATGATCGCAGAGATGAGACGGCAGTCTTACACAGCGCCTGACGACAACATTCACGTGATGGAGCTACTCCAGGACTTCAGTGAAGGCACTGGCAATCTGTTCAGGGTCCCCCGAGACGCTGATTCTATGTTAACAAGCTGTATTGTCGTTCAGACGAGCCACATGAGACGCATGGCGCGTCTTGTTCCCGAGTTGGTCTGCATTGATGCGACCCACGGCACGAAAACATCAGCAGGTGAGCTATATTGACATCCTGGGTGCTATAACCGGTTTGGTCGGTGCCATAATTGGGATCGCTGGTATGATTTGGTTATCCAAATTATGATACCAATTTCGATACCAATTTTTGTATTTATATTCAGCTTATAAAATCACACCTTTTTAACCATTATCAATTATTCTTGTCTTTAGGTATCGGTGTTTTAGCTTCACGGTAGCAAACAGGTTTGGCTGTGGAGGTTTTGCGCAGCTTGCACTCATTGACGGTGAAACAGAACAGAACATGAAAACAAATATGCTATTTCGGTGCTGAAGATCAACAACGAATGCTGGAAAGAAATTCAAGTTCCTATTATTGACAAGGTTTTTACAGAGCTTTCCACACTAGAGGCTGATTTTCCTGAGACTTCTATTATCCTGTGTCACTTTCACGTGATTGATTACCTCAAACGAGAAATTTGCAAACGTGATTATGGGTGTACAGGCTTCGAAAATCTTCTTCTCAAAACATTTATTACGATGATGGCTCGAGCTACAGCGGATGAGATATTTGATCATTTCCTGATTGCTCTGAAAGAGCTTTGACGTGAAAAATTGGGCTTCGTGGAGTATCCCAACTCGCTTTCATGCAAAGAACGATGGTGTATATTGCATTGAGGAGAACTGCCGCACCTCGATAATAACACCAGCAATAGGTCTTGAAGCTAGCTGGGGAGCGGCCAAGGACGTGCTGTCCAGACACGTGCCGATGGATGAGTGTATTGAAACACTTCTATTTTTACATCAGGCTGCTGAAGACGCCTACAAGATCAAGACTACACGGACCGTGCATCGTGCAACTACGACTAAGAGACACAGATGCTGACTCGTTGAGCCACACATTACGCGTGTAATCTTGTGGAGGAGCAGTACAAAGCTTGTCAAAGAGCTGAGTACACCGTGATAGCAGATGGTCTGACGCCTGCATTCCAAACAGTTGAAAGTTAAGAAACGCAGCTTGACTATGCGGTAGGTGGACTATTTTTTATTGGCGTCCGAGTGGTGATTTTCTTCGTTCGATTTCTTAATTATGACTCCCCCTAATCACCAGACATCTCCCAAAATATCAGCCCGGCCAGAATTGAAATGGATGACTATTTTCATTCATTTCTCTTCGTAGACGACTCACCGCATGCAGTCGTGAGGCTCAGCGGAAGACGCTTTGCACGTACGGAAGGGGCTCTGTACTCCTCCAAAGCGTGTAAAAGTGCCAAGGCCACTTGTACATGCTTTTTCACAGCGTTGGTAGGTGTATATTTGGGTCGATGGCCACGTAGCATGCCTGCTGCACTTCTAGAATCTGCATTTGTACATATCTGTGAGTTTGGCAGCTCAATGTAGCACGTTATAGCACCGCCGTTTACCAGAGCACAAACTACATCTTGTACGTACGCTTAGAGCGATGAATCGTGATGCGAAGGCTCCCGAACGCTTGTTAGCCGTGTGCAAGGGAGGAGGTGGCGGTGCACGTCGAAGTTGAAGGATTGAAAGACATACATATTATATGCATGAAAGCGTTACCTGTTTTCGTAAACCATTTTCGAAATGTAAATGGTCGCTAACCATAAAAAGGTAATCATTTTGGCCAAGATAATGTCAGCATAAAAGTCATTTCTACCCCCCCCCCTATTTTGTCTTTGTCCAAGTGGTGATTTGGTATTGTAAATTCCGGTTATATTTAGGATACAGGGTTGGCTCACTCAATCGCCCGCTCAATCAACAAGCGTTGATTATTGGTCAAAATAGAAAACGTACCCATTTGATCTCGACATGAAGACTGACAGAAAGTAAAAAAAAAACATCATATCGCACAAATTATTATATCTAACAGGCTCGGGCGATTGATTCGCGCTCGACTCGATCAGTCGCCCATCCAAATTTGGAGTAGATCCCATAATACCATATCTCGATTCTGACTCCCTACCAAGCCAATGCGCTATCTTTGGTCCTATTTTTTTCTTTAATGTCAAGGTGTTGTGGTTAAGAGCCTGAATCAGGAGCTGATTATAGGAGTACGTATCCTGCCAATACGAGGTGTGCTCTCTGGATATTTATATACAGTTCAGCGTTCTTACCAGGATCACAGACCCTCGGTATTAATAACCCTGTACGAAAACATACTTAGACTAATATCGTAATAACGTTAACCTAACAGGTTGGTTCAACTGTACTTTAAACGGTCGCAATACGTAATCAAATGCGAGACCTTATCTCAGAATGGGTGAATGTTGACCAGTCGGGGAAGATCGACATTTAAACAATCTTATGTGTAGCCAAGTTTCACAAGGCGAAAAACCTGAACAAAGTCGTAAGTTCCTATCTTTGAAATGAACGTTTATCCTGAAATAGCAGTACGAAGTGCTGCAGAGCAGCTGCAGCACTTCAATTTGATTATTGTCTTGAAATGGGTAAGAAAAAGAGGCAGTCACGCTCGACGTGAAACCGACGTGAGTCATAGCCCTAGGGTTTTGTACCAGAACTGTATCACCGTCATTTTTAACCAATAAATTGGCGTTTGACAACGCAAGATGCAGCCTGGAAGTTTCATTGAGTTGAAGGTAATTTAATAAAGGGTGAAATTGGGTTGTGCATATTCATTTAGCTTTCTTGTTACACAGCCGTACAGTTGGTCAGCTTCTGCAGTATGTTAAGCAGTACATCTACAGGATTGTGGAGTCGCAACAATCGCAGTGCCAAGGCGCAAGATGCACAAGGGACATGTAACGGGGTTACACAGTGTGGGACACACACAGGGTACGGGATCCCCGGAGAGTTAGCAAACTCTCAGTACATAAGTTGGAGAGTTAACAATGTCTCTACATATGTTGGCGGAAAGCCACACGTCATGCATTTTATTAGGTTTAAGTATGCTAGATAGTTAAACAGATACATTTGCCTCTAGGCGGCTTGGCCGCAATAAAAGTAAATAAAACACTTCCGATTTTGAAGCGGAAGAGTTATTTGGGGCTAAAACCTCTTGCTCCCTGGCTTTAAAGCTGTGCTAAAGCTCTTTGGGATAAGAAACTTTGTTTTAAGGACTCTTTGAGTCGAATGTCTTCCTCTGACGCTAAAGCTACGGCAGCCCCGCTGCAGGACATCAGTGACAGTTGTAAATATTAATCTGTGCTTAAGTCGTGAGTGACGCTCCATGTGAGACAGCCTAAGAGAAAGTAATCGTTGAACATTAAAAACAATCGATGATTTATTAATTAGTCGTCTATGGATTTTAGCGAATCAAGCAAAAAACGTTAGCATTTTTTTTATTGTTCTAAAAACCCGCAATATATGGTCATGCATGTCGAAACTGAGAGACTTCCAAAAATCTCCTGAACTGCGAACCAAGTCTAAATCTAGGCGCGGTATATTAGATTCCTTGGTACGCATTTAGTCTGTGTTGAATTCAGCATCGGCTGCCAAAAATGGGCCAAACGGCGTAAGGCGAGGTAGCCACTCAATATGTCACTAAAACAATTCGAAGTTGTTGACAGCATGCGCAGCAGACATATTGCGCTCCAGATTCAAGTCATCCGCTCCGCCCAGCAGCACCAGCGCATACGACGGCACCGAGTGCTACGTAAACTGCTAATGTATATTCTTCGTCTACGCATGCTATTGCGAGAGCGTAACTATTTGACAATTACAGCCTTGACAACCAGCGTGTGTTGCGCCTGGTCATACATGTACAAGACGCGGTGCGAAAAATCTTTTATCAACACGGTCTCAATTTCACCAGCTGCGTACGACTTGCTCCTCGAAGCTTTCAGTCGCCACAATGTCGTCAAATCAGGGCCTCCGAAACGTGGGCGGCCAGCTCGATTTGTTTCGAAGAACAACATTCTTGCGTGTTTGTTACACCTATATACTGCTGCCGTGGAGAGCAAAACCTTGGGCGAACTCTTCGGGGTTCCTCCCTACCCAATGAGCCGAACACTAAAGAGGCTGCGCTGATGGCCCTTTGCGAGATGTACCATTGGCCGCTGTGAGATGGCCGTCTTTTGAGCTACAAGTGACGTGGGCAAATCAAGTGTCACGAAAAGAGGGACTTATCAAGGGATGTTTCTGCGTTGTCGATACAAACAGTTACGCTGTACAGGCACCCACAAACAGCGGCAATCAAAATGCCTACTACAATAGTGAGGATTTTGTTGATTTTTTTTTTTTTAATTTATTATATTTTTGGATGGTTGTATAGTGTTAAGGTGACAGGGGTATTATGCTATGGCTTTGACGGTACACTGATCTGGGGGAAACACAACTCCTCAGGATTTGGAATGACGGAGAAATGAGCCGCCAGTTGCAGAACCGCTTAGCTCATCGAGATTTAACAATCGAGAGAGGATGCTGTGCGACAGACTCTGCTTTCCCTGTTAGCGACTCATGCAGAATGAAAATTATTACCCCCACTGAAAGATGGGGACCTCGAACGGGCGAGCCCCGAATGACGTGGGGTTTGCTAGCGATGAGCGCAGCCTTAGTTAGGCAAGCTGCTGAATGAGGTATGGGATGTGCCCCGAAGTATTATCATCGTTTGCTTCTACCACTTCCATTCGACCCAGAGAACCGTGCTGTACTACTTTGGAATACATATCACTTGTACAACATGCGCGTGCGTACCACAGGAATTAGCCAGATTCGGAATGTCTTCGCTTAAATAAATCTATCTTGATATGGAAAAACGTTCGTCTACATTCTCTGGTCATAAAGACTTGAATTTGTGGATACTCTCATGCTTTTTTTAAACAGAGTAACAACGACACTTTTATTTAATAAATGCAAATAATTTTTTTTAATATCCAAAAGCTGCGATCACTTTCTGACTGAGCTATACAACAGCTTAAGCGGCTGGTTTGTTTTCATCGTCGTTGCTGGGGCGGCAAATCAACGCTCCCACCTACTAGACGCGCTAAAAGCAACATCATCATCTGCTGGTTTCTTGCTCGTGCTGACGCTGGTAAATTTCGCGCTCCCTCCGGAATTGCGTCTCTCGTGCTTCGTGGCGCTCTTCCATTGTCATCAACATAGCTACCATGGGGCTTGCCTGGTCTGCGGAGCAGTTGTCGGAACGCAGATCACTTTCCACGTTTTCAATCACTCGATTCAACTTGATACGGCGACGTGAGATTTGGCTGATGGAGATATTGTCGGGTGACGCGTAGGGTCTTTTTCCTAGTGCTTGGGATAGAATTGCTAGCTCCGAGGGCTCTAACCACGCCCGAGCTGTTGCTTACAGCGGGGTTGAGGGAGCAGAATGCATGTTGATCTGGGTCGTTGGTATTGGGGGCCGGCGAGTTATCAGAACCGGAAGCGGCAGTGCCGCAAAGCATCCTAACTCCCTCGAGACTGTCGTCATCGAGTGTGCTCTCTCGAGTCCCAGTATTGTTGCTCACATTGTCATTGCTAAATGTGTCAGGATTCTCATCGTGGAGATCAATCACTGCAATAGGTGATTCTATCGCATACTGAAGACGCTTTGCCCGCTGTACCTCATCGGGACATAAACAATTACCTTTATAATAGATTAAATAATAAGTATTAAAAAATAATTTGTACGTTAACAGCGCTTACCTGAGGGCTTTGGAACCTGCACGAGCTTCTGGAACTTACGCTTTAGGATATCCCCATCTCGTTCAGTCCGCCCGGTAGGTATGTTTGCATTGAACTGAGAGGCAACGTTCTGCCACTGCTCAGAGCCGAAAGTTAATATATCTTCAACGATGCTCAGCATTCCTGAAAGACGCGAATAAGCTTAGCGACTTAAACACCAATAGAACAGCTGTATCCCTTACTTATGACTTCAGACGTGGTGAAGTTCTTGCCCTTGGTCGTGCCCTTTGCCATTCGCACCCGCTCTTATACGCTCTTTCAGTGAAATTGCAAACTGGTAGAACTCGTCAGGACCCATGCTGTCCAAGTACATGCTGAGGCGAACCCCCTCTAATTCGATTGTTTGGTCCGTACCAAACTTAGCGTTTGGCTAGACGTCCTCTGCGTCTGACCGTCTGGTACGACTTTGGTACACACATGGTACACAATATAGGAGCGGTTTGGTTTTGGTACTTAATCTAAGTCTCTCACTGTCGTACCAGAAATACATTTGGAGCGTTTTGATAGTATCAATAATTCCGGACTCACACTATCTGGTACCAAAATACGGTGGATACAAGTCCTTTTTAAGTCTTCCGCTCGCACAGCGACAACAAAATATGATTTTACTTATGTAGTACCGTAGATTACAACGACAAACACACACACACAAGAGTCGGCAATTTCGGTCTATTTGCTTTAGAAAATGGCACATTGTGCGCCCAATTGTGGCATTTATACAAGGATTGATGACCCTTTTTAGAGTTGTTTTTTTTGCAGCAATTCCCTTTTTTTCGCATTCTGTTGTCGAAAGTGACAAAAGGTGGTTTTCGTCTGCAACACTTCCAAGTGCTTTGTGTTCTCCCACCCTGAAGCTGAGAGCTAATGGGCGATGGCATTAAAGTACCGTCATTAGAAATGGTTACCGGGCATTTTTGTGAGAAATACGCACTTTTATGGCAAGGACTTGTGTGGCGCAGGCGGTACAGGTCGTTTGACTTGGTTTTGCTTTGTCGGCACCCAGCATGGGACACCTTCAAATTTGTAAAAATGGTCAAACGTAGGTCCCGTCTTCATCGTTTAGATATCCTAATTATCCATGATCTTTAAAAAACCAGTCACGGCAATTTTGCGCTTAAGTTGACACAGTAACATAGGGAAAGTAAATTTTAATTGAAAAATCTTGGACGATCCAGGATAGGAATCCTGTATGATTCCATAATTAAAATCCTGTCCGGCAACTATTCCCTTTTCGGTTTGTACGCTCTACCCGATAAATTCCGACTACTCTTAATTCCGACGGAGGGCGAATTGGGTTTTCATTTTGGTTTCGCGCGCGAGGATGAAACATGTCTCAAGCGGCGGTGGCGAAAGCGCCGAAGAAGGGCACACCGACGGCAGCGATGGGGGAGCTACGAACGCGTCTGGAGCAACTGGTGGTGCGCTAGCGTCGTCCCTCCGAAGACGTGGTCCCGGACTCTCGAATATGGCTTGTGGTTCTGTTGCATCAGGGATAAGTGGAGGCGCGGAAGTAGAGACTGGAAGTGGTCATGGAGACGATGAAGTGGAGGGAGCAGAAGAAGGTGTGGCAAGTGGCAGGGCGAGTGGTAGTGATGGGTCTAATGATGACGCTGAAGTCTCGGACAGCGCTAATGGTGATGATATGGGTGAGGTGGAACCTCTGGCGGTTTGGAATTCTAGTTGGGACGCCTGGCAGGCTTACTTTACTCTCTACTGTGATCGGACGATGCAAGTCTTGCGTGTAAAGGATGCTATGTCTCGTTCTGAGCGTAACAAACGCTTGAAACGATCGCCGACGATTCACAGTTGGTACCAGAGGGTTTTGACTCATATCAGCGTACATACATATGTACTCACGGCTGGAAGAAGACACAAAAAAATCGCGAGGCGAAGGCAGCTGTCCCCGCCAACATATCCGGCTCACTGACTGTCCATTTCGCTTCGTAGTGCAGTGGAATTTGTCTCGTGCAGAGTTGCAAGTCAAGAATGGCGTCTTCAAGCACAATCACAGAGTATCTGCTGCTGCTTATGCAGCCTACGCGACTTCTCGAGGTGTTAATAACCCTTTAGTGTGATGCCGTGTGGATGGCATGTTGGACGTTGGTGCCAAGAGGTCGAGAATCTACGACTACCTTCTCGAACACGACCAAAATGTTATACAAGTGGATGTGGATAATTTGGTGAATGATCACGCTTCGAGCGTCGCTTCGGTGGATGATAATGAGGCCACTGCAAGAGAGATTGCTCTGTTTTCAGCTGCTGATTAAGAGAACGTGTCGTCGGTTGCCGAAACTGAAGCCGGTGAGACTGGGGTAATCTCTTAGTCTACTGCGCACATGCGTCGAATGTTTGGACGCTTCAGCGAGATTTTGATGGTGGACTGCAGCCATAAGACGAACAGGTAAATGATTGGTGCCAAATACAGGATTTTTCCAGGACTAACCCATGATTTATCCATGACTATATTTTAGATACAACTATCAGTTGCTGACCTTCATGACCCTGAATCAATTTGGGGAGGGCTGTGTGGTACAGCAGTCTTTAATCGAGGCTAATGGCGACTGGCACATGGACAGAGCTATTGCCCATTTCAAGCGTAAGCATCCTACCAGAAGCGATTTGCTTCGTAATTGTCGTGGATAAGGACCTCAACGAGATCCGCGTGCTCGAGACGCATTTCCCAAACGCAAGAATACTTAAATGTCACTTCTATGTGATTAAGTATTTGAAAAAGATGCGTTCGAAACCAGATTTTGGGAAGATATCTGGGGAGGATGCAAGTCAAGTAGATGCTATCGCTCACAGAATGGTTTACGCACAATCTGAAGCTGACTACAACTCAATTTATGCTTCTCTAAAGGGATTGTGTGAAAGGATTGGAATGTCGGCATTTTTAACTACTTCGAAAAGAATTGGAATGGTTGCCAAGATCGATGGGTCATGTATCGGCGTCAAAACCTACCACATTTTAAGAAGCACACAAACAATCGGCCTAAAACCTTTTTGGTAAGCTCAAGGACAGTGTCGACGACTCGATGAGTATGTCAAGTTGTGTTAAGGCTTCACTGGCCTGCGATCGTCGCAAGGAGAATGAGTACAACTATCAACTATCCAGAATTGGCATGTTTGTGAACTCTAATTATGACGAAGAAATGCGAAACGGGCTTAGATTTACGACGCATTATGTGGCCGAGCAGATCCAGCACCAATATGCTGCGTGCTCGAGAAATTTGAAGATTACACTTTTACAAGAATGTCTGAAGATCCTGACATCGTTGGAGTGCGTAGAAACTCCAGACACTACACGTTAAGGCTGGATGATTGGCGATGTGAGTATTTCTATGAGTCTTCCCTGTGGACATGCAATCGCATACAGGAAAAAGAATTGTGTCGCTGGACCGTTGATTTCCTGGAATTGCATCCACGAAAGGTAAATAGAATCCAGGATTTGTCCAGGATTTATCCATGATTATTAATTTATGATTTGCTTGTAGGTGGACAACTCCTGCTAAGCAACTGAACAAAGTCCGTCCGTTTGCATATGAGAGGTTCGATAGTAGTGGATACAAAAAGGAGATCAAGCCTGTGTGTTCTGAGGCTGAACGATACCTTAGAGCGCCCCACTTAATCGCGAACGAGCTGGCAGACATCGACGACGACGAGGAGTTTGAAGAAATGCTGAACTTTGTTCTCAGCCAATGGAGAAACGTTAGACAGCGCAGTATTACTGGACATGACACACCCGTTGGTGGAAGGGCACCTATATCAGCAGGCGACAGCGCAGCTTTAAAGGCTGAGTTTGGAATAAGCAGTAGTGAAGAAGACGATCACGAAACGGGCGATGGTCAGGAAGCGGACGAGTCGTCAGTGAAGATACGCTTGAACCCAAAGTCGAAGAAGGTGGGTAGACAAAAAAAACAGAAGTCGGAGGTAGCAGCTAGTGAAAAAGTAGACCGGAAATGGTTTGAAGCTGTGGAGAAAGGTCGTAAAACTGCTGGCGAAATAACGCTGAACGACCTTATGTCAGCGTTGGAGCGAGAAGAACCCTCACTGGTCGAGACACAACGGCGTTTGTCTGGAGTGATGGTCAAACACGGTAATGGTGAAGCGAAGAAGCCAAAATTTAAGAGACTGAAGAATCCTGTATTAAACAAGGTAGCAGTTTACGTACTGCCGTCGAAGCTTCTAGAGGCGTGTTTGAAGCTGCTCCCAGTAGCAAATACCGTAGCAAGCGAGATTGAAGTCGACAAAGATGATTCCATGAAGAAGACACCAGTGAAGGAGTTGATTGAGTGCGTGTAGATCAAAGGGATTGGAGCTTTCTCTCGTGGCCACATCGAGCTGATCAAAAGAGTTCAAATTTGAAGGACACCGTCCAGCTCGGTGTAGACACGAACAAGTGGCTTATGGAATCAGCTCTTCCCTCCCTCCCTGCTGAATACCATAAGCTGGCAAGAAGAGTCTCCAAACAAATTGTAGATACATTTCCATACCAAAGTCTCCCTGGGCTACCAAATCTTCAAGAGTATCAGTACTCGTTACTACTCCACCTACTTGGCTATCGGACGCTGCAATTCGAGCTCTGTGCAACCGCTTGGTCGTGAATTTCCCCAAGTGCATATTTGCTAGATTTGTGTATGCAACTACCCAGAAGAAGAGGACTCGGACAAACGTGGAGACACCGATGAAATCAATTGTACGAGATCGTGTACTGAAGCAAGTAGCTGAACCAGAAGTGGATACAGTACTGCGTCCGCTGAATTATGGCAACTACCACTGGTGCTGTGCTGTGGTAAAGGTGAAAGCAAAGCGGATCTTCTTCTACGATCCGCTAAATCAAGCGATGTATATGAACTCCGTATAGGCCATCGCAACATATATGCAAATCAGCGGATTACAGGACTACGACGTTATGCCGCAGAACAATCCCATACAGTTTGACGAGTTTAGCGGTGGAATCGACGTTTGTTGGATGTTTACTTGACAAGTAACGCCTGGGCCTCCACAGGATATGAGCAAGGCCTCGTTGCCGAGGCGTCGTTTTGAGCTATTCTACTACTTGCTCACGGGGCGACTTCTCCCAGTTCATGGTCCAGAAGAAAGTGGTGAAGACGACGATATGGAGGATAAGGTACAAGTACCAACCTCAGCTGAAATGGAAGAAGACGATGAAGAAGTGCCGTCAACCCATGTCACGATGTAGGTTCCTAGTACCTTAGTCCAGCGTAATACATGTCTTGCATTCGCTGCTCCTGGTGTCCT